GTTATGTTTCAACCCTTTCAAATATGACTTGGTTATTGTGTACGTGATTGTTTTGCTGAAAGGATTTGGTTGTAGATTTTTAACTTCAGTTAATCTTATTAATCTTTGGAAGTGACAGTGGATTGGTTCATGGTCTTAATGTTTACTTGATGCTTTATGCTCTTTTCTCTAGTATTACCAAAGGAGTTTGTGCTTCCGACTCCTCTTTAATCCTTCTACGCTTCTGGAATTGGAGGAGTCGACGATAACGAAGCTAAACACAGTGTGTGGCTACGAATTCACCTCAAAATTCCACCGCATGTATGCGGACATTCAACTAGCCGAAGGGATGAATAACAATTTTCGCACACATCTTCGCGAAAAGGGTCTCTCTTTCCCCTTCTCACACCACTGCCACGTGCTCACTGCAAGTTTTTTTCTTGATAATACCGCTTGTGTTGACGCTCTGACATTATCCATCTCTACGTTGGGCACAAGCTATGGAGGATTTGCTGGTAATCGTTAAGCTGGTGGGTTTAATGTTTGGTGGAGTTGGAATGTTGTATGGTAATTCGATTGGATTGGGAAGCTTATTTTAGAACAAATTGTTGTCTTGGATTGTGCTGGGCTGAAGGAAATCGTATGAAATAGTATTAGGTTTGGGGTTTTTTCATGAACCTTTTTGCTCGACTTGGCTTTTCAGCTCGCAAGGTCTGCGTTTTCTTCATTTCCAGGTGAATTAACATAGCTACTTCTACAAACATACTTATAGCAAAATAGTTAAACATTGTGTTTTCTAAGTTCTCTTCAGCTGATCTTTGTAATTGGCTTCAGGCTAAAATAAACAAATGATTTAGCGCGTTTAAGGACAGTTTTCTTTCAGTTCATCAATAACGAACCGATTTCATGCGAGATTGTTCCTACCTTTGTTAATGTAACTTTTTTGGTTTTGATTAGAACATAGTCTTTTTAGAGACTCGGAAGTGTTCTCTACTAAACATGATTATACCCATTTGATAATGCTATGCGAGAAATTTTTATTCTATGATCAAGAGTCCGTTGTTTAGTGACGGAGCTAAAGTTGTTAATGGCAAAATGAATGAGAGCCTGAAGTCACCAAGTTAGGAATTCGGAATTGGATGCATTAAATAAAATATTTTTCTACAACAGGTGAGTGCCTGGCCCATCAATACGAAGAACAGTATAGTCTTCACCTTGCCTCCAGAGTTGAGCGACTTCTTAAGGCAATTCGAGGCTTTTTACTCTACGTCCTACACTGGGCGTAACTTACGCTGGGTGTTGTCTTCCTGCACCGCGGAAGTTCGTCTTCTTTACGCCGATCGACCCTACTCTCTTGTCATGACGGCGCTGCATGCAGCCACCATGATGCTCTTCGAGGCTCGCGATGTTGACCATATGACTCTGAGCGCTCTGCAAACTGGTCTTCTGGGCGATGCGGGCGCTGCAGCTGTTGCTGCCGCCGAGGCTGGGGGTCATGAAACCCAGTCATCTTCAGAGGACATCATGAAAAAGGCCGTGGCGCCCTTGCTTGAAGCGGGCTTCCTTCGGCTGTTATCTTCTGATGGACTTAATCCCACCACTGTCTTCGAGGTGAGTTGGTGAGCTCAGACCTAAGTCCCCTTATACGACACTTCAGTCCTTTAGAATCTTCTTCTACAGCGATTTTCGACCATTCAAATTATTTCGGCTTCGTTCTTTTTTTGTAATTTGTTGTTTACATTGACGTCATTCTACAATTCGAGGTGGTTTTTAAACCGTCTTTGCATCCTGGGTAAGTAGAGGTTCAAAAATGGGCGGATTTTGCGCACTGTTTACAAATGTAATGGCTAATAAAAAGTGGAAGGAAGGAGTTTGCATTACTTGAGACGACTTCTCTTTCGATGATGATGATGGTCTCTCTGCACAACTTGTTTCTCATTTTTTAAACATTATGCACTAATTACTTTTTGCTTTGCCCCTCTCCTGAACTCATCTCACTT